CAAACAAAACCATGCGTGGATTTAAATTACTCTACACTATCTATTGTAAGCTATAAATAACCCTTTTTCAGCTCCTTGTGCTCCAATGACTCAACTTAAAACAAAATAAATCACAGCTAATTTCTGTATAAAGCCTGTTTTTACTAACGAGCACTTAACTGACCAGGAACTGGACTGAAACGCTGTCGTCCAGTTACAGATTATTTTGTGTAAAATAATAACTTAAAAACTTATAAATGAAGAGAAATGTTTTAATTTAAATAAGAACGGAAGAAAACAGAGTAATTACTTTTTTTGCACAAACATGTCAGCTGTCTGTTGTGCGTAAGAAATAATCCCAAATAAGCAAACGTTTTTTTAATGCCAGAACCTTCCTGAAAACTGCGTCAGTAGGTTTTAAGAAAGAACTTGATTGGTGAATGGGGCCCCATGTTTTGATGGAAGACTGGACTGTGAAAGTTTCTCTGGTGTTTGATGGTGTAAACGCACTCCGGGCTCCGCCGGGCTCGTACGACTGTCTGGCGTCCTGTCAGATGGACAAAGTTACATGCACGACACAATAACAACAACACCACTCCATCCTAACTGTAAAGGACTCAACATGCTTCACTATTTTACACTGACAGGAAATCGTCCTGCGTTCTGGAACAATAAACGTGTCTCACAGTTAGTGTGTTGAGGAAAGTGAACTCTGGGACGCCATATGAAACTAAAACTACTTTGACTTCTCTGACTGGTTTAAAGGTAAAAACAAGCAGCTGCATTATTATAAATTATTATTATTAGATGCATTTGTTGTCGATCCCCCAACAGAGGCTTGGAGTTTAATTTATTTTAACTAAATGCAGTTTAACTTGCACTGTAGTTGCTTAATATCTCAATCACACCTTCATAAGAATTAGAGACATCTTTAGCTGTAGGATTTCTGCCCCTCATCGTCTCCTGCACCTGTGATCCACTGTGAGCGGTACAGGAGGTCCAGGATGGTTCTGGTTCCAGTAAATCCTCTTTGATGGTTTGCAGCTGTTCCCAGTTACAACATGAATATTATAATATTTATTTTGCAGGCTTTGTTTCTACTGAGGTTTCTCTGGCTCCACTTCCAGTATCAGAAACCAGTAGCTCATCTGTCTCCAGTCTGACGTCCTTACTGGACTTGTTAAGATTCACTGATTAATAAAACACAGTGAGAGAGATCACTCTGGCTCAGATCAAACTGTTTCCAGTAATTAGACCAGTAAAGACCCAGTACTGGTCCAGTAGTAGCCACACACGCACACAGAGGACTTACGGATCTTGGCCACGCTGGCCACCAGGAGCCAGATGGCGATGATGTACGGAGTCTGGACGTAGCTCCACTCCCACTGGACCACCCGGTACCCGCCGCCGTGATGATGATGATGTTGACCCCCCTCTTCCTCCTCTCCCGGGCGGGTCGGTTCCTCCGCGGCGGACCGGGCCAAGGCTACACCGGGCGCACCGTATTCCGCCCGGGGCTGCGGGAGGAGGAGGAGCGGCGGGGCGGAGGGAGAGGCGGGGACCGGCGGAGAGAAGCCGAGCCCCGGCCCCCGGAGCGGCGGAGCGCCCGACCCGGGCAGGTCCGCGGCGGCGACCGGCAGCAGCAGCAGCAGCATCAGACCGAGCGGCAGCATCTTCCCCCGGAGCTCAGCGGGAGGACATCCTCCTAACCTTTATATACGCACCGAGACACGGAGAGGACGCGGAGCAGCGGAGGGAGGCCGGCAGCCGGTCCACAACATCCACACACACACACACACACACACACACACGGAGGAGGGACACCGGAGCGGGACATGTGACCCGCTCAGTCCCGCGTTAAAGAGACGGAGACACTGCAGGTGAAGAAACACTGATGAAGCGCTGCTGTGATGTACTGCAGTGAACCTCAGTGACACTACAGGATACTACAGTACACTGCATCAACAGCAGATTATACTACAGCAGCCTATATATACACACACTACAATATACTTACCCTGCAGTAACTGTACAGTAGTAGTACACCAGGGGCGTCAGGAGTCCGCACCAGGCCCCGGTGCCAGATTTTAAAAGCCTCCCATTACACCCAGAGTAACATATGGACCTCATTCACACCTGGTATTAAAATGGTATTAAAATGTAATACCAGGTGTGAATGGGGTCATGATGTCAGCAGTGAAGGAAAGAGGTGAAAGCAGCTTTAAAACTGTCAGGCCTGCTCAGCTAACAGCTACAATATGAGAACAGAGCTTAAAAGATGAGTCATAACAGTTATTGACAAAATGTCTGCCCATAGGCTATATAGGTGTGTGAATTGATTATTAGTCCAATAAATTATAAATACTTCTACTTACATTGTGGCCCATAGGTGTCCACATGTCACAGCTTGTACTCGCTACTATCCCCTCAATCTTTCTTTTTAAGGAAACTGAATGTGGAAGCTTTGCTTTTTCTTGCTTGGTAGATTCTCTGGGTTTTCACTTCCGAAACCCACTTTTGTGCTTGTACTCCAAATCACTTGTTTTACAGTTGGTGTACTTTGCTAGCAAACTCATCATCCTCTTCTCTGTTTGGCATTTACTACACAGTAGTGTCCACAACAATGCCCAAAAGCAGAATTTTACGTGGAAACACATTGCACAATTTTAAGAGAAAAACTCACCCATGAATCCTTATTTAAAGTTAGTTTAGATGTTACTGCACTACAATGCAGCAATACTACAGAATACTACAGGAAAAATTAACAGTGCAGTACACTACAACAGAAGATTAACACTTCAGTCAACACTACTATTAACGCTACAGTGACACTAAAATTAACACTAAAGTGACCCTACTATTAATACTGTCACACTACAATAACGCTACGCAGTGACACTACAATAACGCTACACAGTGACACTACAATAACGCTACGCAGTGACACTAAAATTAACACTAAAGTGACCCTACTATTAATACTGTCACACTACAATAACGCTACACAGTGACACTACAATAACGCTACACAGTGACACTACAATAACGCTACGCAGTGACACTAAAATTAACACTAAAGTGACCCTACTATTAATACTGTCACACTACAATAACGCTACAGTGACACTACAATAACGCTACGCAGTGACACTACAATAACGCTACGCAGTGACACTAAAATTAACACTAAAGTGACCCTACTATTAATACTGTCACACTACAATAACGCTACACAGTGACACTAAAATTAACACTAAAGTGACCCTACTATTAATACTGTCACACTACAATAACGCTACACAGTGACACTAAAATTAACACTAAAGTGACCCTACTATTAATACTGTCACACTACAATAACGCTACGCAGTGACACTAAAATTAACACTAAAGTGACCCTACTATTAATACTGTCACACTACAATAACGCTACACAGTGACACTACAATAACGCTACGCAGTGACACTAAAATTAACACTAAAGTGACCCTACTATTAATACTGTCACACTACAATAACGCTACACAGTGACACTAAAGTGACCCTATTATTAATACTGTCACACTACAATAACGCTACGCAGTGACACTACAATAACGCTACAGTGACACTACAATAACGCTACACAGTGACACTAAAATTAACACTAAAGTGACCCTATTATTAATACTGTCACACTACAATAACGCTACAGTGACACTAAAATTAACACTAAAGTGACCCTATTATTAATACTGTCACACTACAATAACGCTACGCAGTGACACTACAATAACGCTACAGTGACACTACAATAACGCTACACAGTGACACTAAAATTAACACTAAAGTGACCCTACTATTAATACTGTCACACTACAATAACGCTACACAGTGACACTACAATAATGCTACACAGTGACACTAAAATTAACACTAAAGTGACCCTACTATTAATACTGTCACACTACAATAACGCTACAGTGACACTACAATAACGCTACAGTGACACTACAATAACGCTACGCAGTGACACTAAAATTAACACTAAAGTGACACTACAATAACGCTACACAGTGACACTACAATAACGCTACACAGTGACACTACAATAACGCTACACAGTGACACTACAATAACGCTACACAGTGACACTACAATAACGCTACGCAGTGACACTAAAATTAACACTAAAGTGACCCTATTATTAATACTGTCACACTACAATAACGCTACAGTGACACTACAATAACGCTACGCAGTGACACTAAAATTAACACTAAAGTGACCCTATTATTAATACTGTCACACTACAATAACGCTACGCAGTGACACTACAATAACGCTACGCAGTGACACTACAATAACGCTACAGTGACACTACAATAACGCTACACAGTGACAGTACAATAACGCTACGCAGTGACACTACAATAAAAAAGTGACACTACAATAACGCTACAGTGACACTACAATAACGCTACAGTGACACTACAGTGACATGACAGTTCAGGCCTCTGCTTATCCTTCTTCCATGTAGACGTTGGCCATAATAGGAGATAGTGATCTCCACCTATTTGGTGCAGCACAGAGAGGCCTGAAGCTTCAGAAGAGACCCTCTGGACTGGTACCTTAGACTGCTGAAGCCTCTTTATTAACTTCAGATTACTGGATAGAGTTTTGGATACAAGAACATGAACAGAAGGAACAAGTACAGCACATTAATCCCGTTTCCTGACAGTTTTCTACTGTCCTGTTTAACTAGATCTTTTTTATAAATAATACACACAATCTGTTTATGATACAGCTTGATACCATATGTTTTCATTGAGGTAGTCATTCTTCATTTGGTGACATTATGTCACTTTATATTTGACTTCTGTAAATGAATTAATTTGTCTAGCTCAACATTTTGTCAATGTATTCTTTTGGGTCATAGCTTTGCGATTTTATAATGGTGTATGTCACAGAAAGAAAGACTGATTCAGTTATGACACACTGAAGTCATTATTCCACAAAAATATATAAACATAAAACTCAAATCATTTTTAAATCCTTTCGTTCTTTATTAAAAATCATTATTAATCATACCTGGAACACATTCAATCTTCCATAAAGTCTTTCTATAAAATGTTCATGAGTCTCAGACGGTCTGTGCCTGAATGAACACGACAACAGAATGAACACGACTGACCCCAAAAACACCACAAAGTGCAAAAATAACACAGCTGTACAGAAGCGATAACTCTCCATCCTGTGAATCAACGAGATAAGAAAACACCAGAGTGACAGGTTTTTGTGACGTGTGATTTTGTTTAGTTGAAGCCTGGTGATAAGAAACATTCACGCTTAACTTTTCAAGGACTTTCAAGGAGCTTTCTGTGCAGGCTGGAGTGATAATAGAGCAGGTTTGTTTAGAAAACACATTTTTAAGCTGTTCAGCAGCGGTGACGTCGCCACAGACACCAGATTTCAAAAAGCCGGTATGCCGCGAGTACAGAGGTTTACGTGGCGAGGAAAGCGTTAATTATTTAAATGTAGAGCTCTTGCACTCCAGCTCTAAAAACGTGCCAAATTAGTTTGATTCATTTTTACAGGATGTGATGGATTTTCACATTTTAAATCTCCTGCTTTAACATTCAAAAATTATTACTGTAAGAACAAACTGTAAAGACTTTATCTACTACTTTATTTTGTTTTCCAGGATGGCAAATGCTTGATGCTCGGGTTAAATGTGCATTTCAAACTGCTCCCATGTTAGTTAACTTTATTTCTTCAGTGTTGTGTGTTCAGATTTCTAACAATGCGTGAATTTGTAAAGTGGTAAATGTGTAAAGGAAAGATCCACAGGTGCTCTGCAGGTGAGGAAAACACAAGCACAAAGATATAAAAAGGAAGAAAACACCTCGACTTTCACACTGCGAATAAATAGAAACCGAGCAAGTGACGGCTCTCACTGTGACGGGCGTGGTCAGAGGTGTTGCACAGAGGTCAACAAAGACCAGATTAAAGTTCTCAGTTACACTTTGCCATCCAATCAAAAGCTCCAGACGACTAAACGGACCTTGTGGTGAGAACGTCTTAGAGGTGAAGACGTCTCTTTAGCTGAGTTGCAGTGTAAAGAGGTCGCCGCTGCAACCATCAGTGTGAAGGGGAAAGGTTATAAAAACACGGAGGCAGTTTGAAAGCACGTTATCTTGGCTCACGTTCTGCTCAACTGTTCATATGAAACATCTGCTCTTTGTCAACACGTTAATATTAACTCATTATTATTCAACTATCCTGATGTGTTGTCACTCCGCTTTCTGCATTCTGATTTTTTGCATCAAATTTATAAACATTCATGGATGTTCAAGAACCAAAACCACAAACCACAAACTAGAGTCCGGTCTAATGTGCCAACGTTTCTTCCTGTTTGTAACCGAGCAGTTGAGAGAAAGGTCCTCGAGCAGGTCGATGATTCTCCTCCTGCAGGAGACCAATCGCCTGCTCCTCGTGACGTCCAGTGGTGTCTCTCAGCTGCTCTGGGTTCAGTCTCTTTAATCAATAGTGTTCACTGACAAATGGATCAGACGTTGTCTCCTGTTTTGCTGTTGAGTCCCAGAGCCTGAACCACGTCCACAGTGAGGCCGCTCTTCAGAGTCCTCCTCACTGCAACACACAAAAACACCCATTAGTGAGCATTCAGGCGCCACACCAGCAGCAGCTACAGGACGCTGAGGTCAGAGCGTCCCCAGCGACGGGACGTCAGCTGTGATCAAGGACGCCTCTCTGTGTTAAAGCAGTGGGGACATCAGGGTTAGGGGTCTAACGGTACACTGATGCACGATATTCAGTTCATGAGAACCACGAGCAGATATTTATACTGAAGGAATATTAAATACTGATATATATGACGGGGGATCGGAGGATGGTGGAACACTAAATTCAGACAGTTTCAACAATATAAAAATATAACAGAATAGAACAGTAATCAGCTGTTTGTCTTTATATATTTGTGGTTTTTTTTGGATAAAGCACATATTTCTTTTATATTTAAACTGCATGTTTTCTTATTGTGCAAATAAACCTTTCACGACAGCATTTTCATTTGTTACATTTCTTGGTGCAAACTGTTTTTCAGAACATTTTTGACAAAAGCTTTCAGGACGTGGTGGGGACATGCGTCCCCGGTGTAAACACTTTGCCCGTGATGATGATCTGCTGGGAGAGGATTTACTGAGGAAGAGGAAACAGAGACATGAAGCTGCACAGATACGGAGCTGTTTTGGACACAGAGCTGCTTGTTGTGTCTCAACACAGCGAACCAGATTAAACCCGCCGAGGTCTGCGTCCTCTGCAGAACAAAACAAATCCAACAACAGGTTGGACCCGATCTGTTTCCTTTTTGTGCACCTTTCCTTAAAAAAAGGGCACAAAAAGTTCTGACCCAACATCTCCTTAAAGGATCAGTCCAACATTAAGTAGATCCTCTTCTTCTGTCCTCCCCTCAGTCAAACCTGATCCCTCCACCAGAATCTGGAGTAAAAACTGAGTGTAGTAACTGAAAGGTTCATCAGGCCGTGCACTCACGTGACTTCCTGTTCAGTCGGGACCGTTTTCGGGTCTTGGGGCTGGACGGTTTCTCTGATGGATTCCGGGTAACAGACTTGACCAGTCGGTCCATGATCTCATCTGTGGCGTCGTCCTGGGAGCTGACCCCGTCTTCTCTGGCCACAGACATCGGAGACGGACTCACCCTCCCGAAACCTGAGGACCAGAATCAGAATCAGTTCCAGAATATCAACCAGAACTGGGCTAACACACAGAGGAGCTCCTGACATTTTAGTTTCTGCAGACGCACGCCTGTGTGAGGCGTTTACCACCTGAACTGTCGCCCTCGGCTCAACACGACACTACAGAACCAAATATCAACTCAGTGTTGCGTTCAGGTGCAGAAACCTTTCATTCATCCCCCATTAACGCTTTCTGATTGGCTGATGGGACCGAACAGGCACCTGCTTCAGGTCCTGGCGGGACATGAAGTCCAGTCTGAGGACTAGATGAGGGAGTCCGAAGGTTTAACAGACACAAAACACAGCACAGAGGTTTTTGTTACCACGAGACGGCACTTTACAGCTCGCGGCCTCTGGTCGTCACGACGATGGCATGTAGAAATACTCATTACACAGTGACCTGCCAGGAATGTGAGCTCGCACGTATTTTATGCTCAGAACCAGAGTCTGTCTGCAGCGCACAGGTTCAGCACAGACCTGACCGACAACACGCTTCAGTTTTAATCAGTGCAGCTCATCAAACCCCGGTGTTGACGCTTAAAGCCTCTTGGTCACCAGGACTGAACCCGAACTCCACTGTGAAAGATTTGTGTGCAGGTTTCCTGGTGGCCTGAGGGTTTAAGGCGCCGACAATGAGCCTCAACACCCCCAGTGATATTGAAAAATAAACTGTGGTGTTTGTGGGGTGAAAAAGGGACAGTTTCCTGCTGGTCTCATTTATCTGACAGCTGTTGGCGACGTCCGTCTGTGCCGATGACTCCGGTCGCTCACCGTGGGGAAACGATAACAAACTCGCAAATATGGTCAACCAAGATGGCGACGGCCAAACTGTGGCGCAAAGGACGTGAACATAGTGAGCTGGTGTGAATCATGGTGAAGCGAGCGGGTCTTACTGCGGACGGCTCTGGAGCGCCTCAGGCTCCTGGGGTCGGCGCTCAGGCTGTCGCTGCTGATCAGCAGGTTCTTCATGTTCTCATGCTCCCCGTGACCCGGCTCCGCCTCCGCCGCCATGGAGACGGGGGAGATGCTGTCCTGATGATCCACCGCCCCTGAAAACTTCTCCGTCTGAGAGAAGAAGGAGGAAAGGAGGAGACGTGAAGAGTTCATTTCTGTGCGCTGCCTTATTTCTACATTTAACTGCTTTAAATTCTGCTCACAGTTTATATAACAAAGTGTGCACCCTGTTGCATTTTGGGTATCTGGGGGCGGGGCTGGGAAACACGTTGAACTGTTCTACATCCCAAATATCCTTAATAAAGCGTAAAATGTACAACAGCTCAGAAAACTAAAGACAAAGACCACTTTGCTTCTCAATGAATCTATTAACGTGAGCACATGTTCATTACTGTGTCATGCTGTAGTATTGCAGTTTTTCCTCTAAGTAACAGATCTTAATACTTCGTCCACTCCTGGATTACAGCTCAGACTGGGACTGTGGGTCATATACACAGAGAGAAAGCAGGCAGGTCCCGGTCCTGCTGGGGGCCTCTGCAGGTCTGTGGAGGAGGGTTACCTCTGTGATCATCTTGCCTCTGGTCTTGGTCCTCTCTCTGTGAGTGGCTCGCTTTCGTTTGATGGTCAGGACTCGCTCTCTGGTGGTGCGGTACTCCAGAGCGAACTCGCTGATGATCCGACAGAAACTGGTGACTTTGATGTCCCGAACTGAGGAGGAGGGCTGACCCAGGAACAGCAGGAAGGAGTGGAACCTGGAGAAGGAGGAGGGGAAAGTCTCTCTCTCTGTCTCTGTGTGTGTGTGTGTGTCTCTCTCTGTCTCTGTGTGTGTGTGTGTCTGTGTGTCTGTCTCTGTGTGTGTGTGTCTGTGTGTGTGTGTCTGTCTCTGTGTGTGTGTCTGTCTCTGTGTGTGTGTCTGTCTCTGTGTCTGTCTCTGTGTGTGTGTCTGTCTCTGTGTCTCTGTGTGTGTCTCTGTGTGTGTCTGTCTCTGTGTGTGTGTCTGTCTCTGTCTCTGTGTCTCTGTGTGTGTCTCTGTGTGTGTCTGTCTCTGTGTGTGTCTGTCTCTGTGTGTGTGTCTGTCTCTGTCTCTGTGTCTCTGTGTGTGTCTCTGTCTGTGTGTGTGTCTCTGTGTGTCTGTCTCTGTGTCTCTGTGTGTGTCTCTGTGTGTGTCTGTCTCTGTGTCTGTCTCTGTGTGTGTCTGTCTCTGTGTGTGTCTGTCTCTGTGTGTGTCTCTGTGTGTGTCTGTCTCTGTGTGTGTCTCTCTGTCTCTGTGTGTGTCTCTCTGTCTCTGTGTGTGTCTCTCTGTCTCTGTGTGTGTCTCTCTGTCTCTGTGCGTGTCTCTGTGTCTCTGTGCGTGTCTGTCTCTGTGTGTGTCTGTCTCTGTGTGTGTCTGTCTCTGTGTGTGTCTCTGTGTCTCTGTGTGTGTCTCTGTGTCTCTGTGCGTGTCTGTCTCTGTGTCTCTGTGTGTGTCTGTCTCTGTGTGTGTCTGTGTCTGTCTCTGTGTGTCTGTGTCTGTCTCTGTGTCTGTCTCTGTCTGTGTGTGTGTCTGTCTCTGTGTGTGTCTCTGTGTGTGTCTGTCTCTGTGTGTGTCTCTGTGTGTGTCTCTGTGTGTGTCTCTGTCTCTGTGTGTGTCTCTGTCTCTGTCTCTGTGTGTCTGTGTCTCTGTCTGTGTCTCTGTCTGTGTCTGTGTGTGTGTCTCTGTGTCTGTCTGTGTGTGTGTGTGTCTCTGTGTCTGTCTGTGTGTGTGTGTGTGTGTCTCTGTCTCTGTGTCTCTCTCTGTGTCTCTGTGTCTGTCTCTGTGTCTGTCTCTCTCTGTGTCTCTGTGTGTGCGTGCTGACCTGTTGATGACCCTCCGGTGCACGACCTTCAGGATGATGATTCTCTGCGTGCAGTCCTTCAGGAAGTCCGTCATCTTGTTCTTCAGCACCGCTTTGGTTTCGTGTTTGGCCACCACCTTCAGGTTGTCCCATGATGCTTTGCAGCGTCTCTCCAGCTGGACCAGGTTCTCCGCCAGCAGCTCAAAGTCCACCTGGAGGGACAAAAAAAAAAAACAACCTCTCCTGGTCATCATCTGCCTCCTGAACCTGAGGGCGCAGCAGCGCGGGAGACAGGTGGAGCTACAGAGGAACAGAGACGTACTTTGGCGGAGCGGGTGATGGCGGGGACCTCGGAGTAGACATCAGAGGATTCTGGGTAATTTTCCACCACCTGGCTGCAGGTGTGATGCAGCAGAGACTGACGGTGAACCGTGTCCTTCACCTCCACCACCTTCTCCAGGTAACCCAGCTCAAAGCCTTTAGCCTGGACACGAACATGTTAACACACACACGCACACACACACACACACACACACGTGAACCTGTTATCTCTAATCTGTGTTTGAGGACACAACAGATTTATCGGTGTCTGTCCTCTTAATGACTGAATATCTAATCTGTGATCAGAAGGGTAAATAAAGAACTTGACTCTCCAGGCTTCCGTAAGATGAGGCCCCTGCAGAGCCTTCAGTCCTGCAGGGCCCAATGGGGGCCAGGAACGTCTGTCCTATAGAAGTCTGTTTTAATAAGAAACTCCAATGCGTTCACTGACTGAGGAGCAGAGCCTCGGGGCCCTGACTTCAAACCATTTTATATTTATTACATTATTTTAGTAACAGCAGTCCTCGCTCCTGTGTCCACGTCTCAGCACGTTTAAGTACGCCGCCGCATAGTTTATTTCAAAAGTCAGTTGGGGCCCTTTGGAGGGCGGGCCCCTTTCAATCCAAACGGGTGAAACCTAGCTAAGGGTTTCAAACGCAGCAAAAGGTCAACGTTTTAATTAAAAAATACAGTAGAGTGGGCGGGGCCTCCATCTGTGGCAGACTTCTTAGAAAAGAGCCGCTTCCAGTGTTTTCTGTCACTCATCTGTGAGAAGGAGATTAAGCTAGCAGCACCTAGAATTGGAGTACGCACGTATTCAAGCCTTTACGGTAAGTGAACTGGCCCAGAGCGAGCTGACAGGCAGGTTAGAGACTTTATCCTTTCAGTTTGTCTCTTTAGTATGAAGAGAGGCTGTGAAGTCTTCATGTTACAACATTATTTATCAAACCGCGTCGGACTGGATGGATTTAGCGCGAGGAGGAAACACATGTGACAACGTCCGGTTTCCAAAATAAGGCGTCTGTACAGGATGGAAATAAGATTAATTGGATTATATTCACAGAAAGTATAAAACATGTTACATGTGTCCATTAAAAGTAAACGGACACATGTAGTTTACTTTACTAGACCCTATCGGGCCCCGGACCCCCCCACCAACCATAGTCTCTCCACATCCTGTGAGAAACACCGAGGAAAGAGAACATTTTGACTATTTGATTTATGCAGTGGTAAAAAAAAAAAAAAGGCCAAACAAATGAAAAAGTGAAAGTACATGTTCGACAAATTATTTCATTAAATTCAGTTTCTGCTTCGGCCAAGAGTTGAGACGTTCATCAGGCTGGAAAGAGTTTGTGCTCTTCAGTTTGTTGTTAGGATTTGACTTGAAACACTCGCATGAAAAAGTTCAGTTTGAAAATCACATGAAATTAATCCTTTCATGTTGTGACACATGAATTATTTCTGATGATGTTATTAGGGCTGTCCAACCAAAACTAGCGCCAGGCTGCGTCTCATGTCACAGGAACGCACTGAAATCCAAACATCACTGTGAACTCCGGCTGCTCTTTGCTTTTCTTCCTCTTTGTGTGTGAGGAGGTGTTTTTATGTATATTTATATCTGATGGAGTGTGTTTGTTCTCACGTTGGAGCTGTTGAGGAAGTTCCCGATGGCGAGCAGCGTGGCCAGGATCCTCCTGAAGGTCTGATTGGAGGCCAGCTGCTCCATGCCCAGCTTCAGGTCAAACAGCGGCTCTGCGATCTCCTGCAGGGGGCGACACGGTCACAGTCTGAACTTCCTGTTTTACACACCGACCTGCTGACAGGTGCACTGTGGAGATATTCTGTTTTTTCCCCCTCATAAAACTTTAAGACGCTCGCTGTGACGTCTGCAGAGCTGCGGTTAAACATTTCAGCCTCATCATCAGCGTTATACGTGCAGCATGCGGTCAGACAGCTCGGAAACCGCTTTACAAACTTCATGCATGGCCCCCTGTCATGTGATGGGCCCCCTGTCATGTGATGGGCCCCCTGTCATGTGATGGGCCCCCTGTCATGTGATGGGCCCCCTGTCATGTGATGGGCCCGGCCTTCCTTACAGGTGGTGATGTAGATAAAACTAAAAACATCAGTGCCTTGCGTCTCATTTCTGCTCTTCTTCTTCTACAGTTGAAGTGCATGTGGTCATTTTACTACATATCAGCCTCCCTGTTGCATGTTAGCAGAGCTCTTCACATTAAGTTCACCACGTGTTTGAAATGTCTGTATGGTGCAAACATCCTGCAGCCTCTCAGGAGGTCTGGACGCTCTGGACTAACCAGCGACACCGGGTTTGACCTTGAGAACCAGATCCTCTGCCGTGTGTGTGCGCGCGTTACCTTCTCCAGAGCCTCGTAGTTCAGTTTGAAGGCCCAGAGCTGCAGACGGGGGGTCAGGGCGCTGATGGAGGCCAGGCTGAACAGGAACTGCTCCGCCGTGCCCAGAGGAACGTCAGGATTGGCCAGCTGGGCCTCCTGGATCTTCTGCTTCTCCTCCTCTGTGGGGGTCATGGTCAGGATCTTCTGCTCAGGACAGAGGAGGGTCAGTCTAACATCTGTGGTCTACTTACTCACACAAACTTTTAATTTCAGTAAATACTTTAATCACAGACATCTTCTGCCATCCAGCTACAGGCCACAGCGCCCTCTGCTGACAGCACCAGGGCTCTCATTTATAATCAACTTGAAATGTGGTGCAAGTGAGGGAGCGCCACGTCCCACCCGTGAAACGCCGCTCATTAATATTAGTCCGTCCTGACTGCAGGAAGAAAAGGAGGCGAATTCTGACAGAGAAGCTACAAACTGAGATTTAACTCAGTGACACTGTCGTTCCTTTTGGTGAAGCTGAAGCTGTTTGGTGGGTAAAAGACGCACTTTCACGGAACGCTTGTGCACAGGAGAAAGGGGGGCCCGGGGCTCCACCCCTTTATAACCGATCTGCAGGAAGGGGCCTCCCTCTGAGTAGTGACGTCACTGACCGAAGGGGGACACACAGACGGGACGACCCAGATACTGATCTGGATTCCCCCGTTTGAAAAGAGAGGAAACCAAATGCCTCCCGTTTGTGTTTAAACATTTATTTACACAAACAGTCGGCACCCTGAACGAGGCTGCTGATGAGTTGACTTGTTTTATGTGACACACACTGAAAGATTTCCTTAATAAAACAGTGTTTTATTTTCCATAGTGTGTTTTTACAAGCAGCGCATCACATCCACACGCTGGCGCTCAGCGTTTGGCTCGATAAGGAAACGAACATGTGATAACAATGTAAAATATGAAACTCCGCTCTCGTATTTGCTCGACTGACGCACTGAAAACGGCATCAGTTTAAATATAATTTGTCCTCCCATTCACCTTATTTCTGAGAATAAATTGCACTGATTCCTGATTAAACTGTCCAACATATTTGAGGCGTTCTTTTGCAGACACAGAATCTCCGTTTGGGTTTATTATCCTAAATCTGCATCTTTTTGTGGCTGCAAATTTTTTTTTGCCCACTTCAGGGGTTTAAGGCTGTAAGCCTGTAATACTCAGAGGTAATATTGCCATTTATTTTACACAATATTCGGCCTGTTTTCAACCCGTTTCATCCTTCTGCCATGTGAGTCACCGTTTCTCTTTTCTCCTCTTTATGTGCGTACGCGTGGTTCAGAGTTTACTTACGGCACATTCTCCCGTCAAGTTTGTTTCTTATAAATCAAAACCTTTGCTTGGGAAGTGGCGTCCGCACGTTTCCAGCCCGTTTTGTACGTACGCACCGTTTATAAATGAGACCCCTGGTCTTTACCTCTATCCCCTCCTTGCTGATGGCGAACTCATCGAAGTTGAGGATGGCGGTCTTGATGACGTGCACAGCCGGCAGGACGGTCATCCCGATGTTGATGGCGTTACTCCTCTTAGAGTCCAGAACCAGAATCTCAGACTTCTTTGTCTCAGGTCCTTTCTGCACACGGAAACCTCACGTTAACCATGTTCACAACAATTACTGCGATGAAATTCACAGACTGTACCGTTAGTCGATATCTCAGATCCTTCAAACGTCCTGCATGTCTCGTCGGTCGTATTTCCACTTTCTATTAATACTTTGATAAAGTTTTATCCAACCTGCTGGCCCGACTGAGCAGCTCTGTATACAGCACATTACACATACTGTAGAATAATACTTTTATTTTCTACTTATAAACTGCACTCAGGTACATTCAGTGTTACTTTCTAAATGTAATACGTTACCGATTACAAGTTACCCTATTTAAAATGTACATTTAGTTTGTAATTAAATGACGTAACTAAATTACATGTAAGCTAATTACTCCCCAACACTGCGTACAGCTCAATCCAGCAAGTGATGCATTAGGATGAAATTCAAGCTTATATAATGAAGCTTTATTATTAATCTACTGATTCAGTTTCCCTGACAACAGCCTGACGCCTCTTGACTAAATACTGCTCAGTTCCCGCGTCATTTTCTGAAAATATTAACTGTAAATCAAAGAATTAATTAAATCATTTCGCCCCCTAAAGACACACATAGGTGGTCTACGTAGTGCTGCCAGCCCGAGTAGTCAAACAACCTGCAGCAGTCAGATGGCAGAGCAGCTTTCAAGGCGGATATTAACATCGACATTTTTTATGATTAAACAATATATATATCTGCCAATATTCATGTTTCAAGTGTTCCTTAAATTTGGTTATTAAAGGCTAGTGACCCAGTTACATTCTGAGCGGAACATTTTACATCGTAAAGATAAACTGGTCAGGGCTCAGCTAGCAGAGGAGCTGTCTCTAAATCACCTCAAACATTTGTCTAATGATCTTTCTTGTTGTTTATTGGCCAATACATCAAACGATAATATATATCTGTCATAACATAATATAGACCTGGCTGTAGCCTGGGAGACAAAATCTGGGGCAGAAAGTAAACCTTAGCTGCTGTCAGTAAAGCAAACTGCTGGGAGTGTGTGGTTATTATGGACTACCACCACTACCACCACCACCACCACCACTACTACTACCAGCAGCTGGGCTGTCACATTCTATAGGGGGCAAAAGCAGAGTTTCTATGGAGGACCGAGTCGGCCACAATCAAAAATGAGTACAAAAAAAAAAAAAAGCACAATAAATAAACAAACACCCTATAAAATGCACCAAAAATTTAATTAAATGAAATAATCAAATGCATATAATTTGATATCGTTTTTTAATTTGCTTCTTTATTTATTCACCTTTTCACCCTATTATTTACCTTATTTATTGATTTTCCTTTATAATTTTTACTTTTATTCCTTAATTATTATTATTTTTTAATATTTCTTTGAATATTTTTGTATTGTTTTTACCTTATTTATTTCCCCAAAAGGTATTTATTCCATCTCCCCTATCTACATTTTTTTTACTTTTTACATTTCTGTATAATAAAAAGACCTTATTAATACAAAGGTGATTAATAAAAGACACAAATTAAAAGAGATGTATCAATTTATGTATTTCTTGAACATTTTTTCTGTATTCATTTTTGATTGTGGCAGACTCGGTCCTCCATAGCTTCAGGCTCCTGACACCTTACTTAGTCCGCTCTGCTTCTCCATCATCTCTACATGTTTTAGACACTTGGAGCTCTAACGCTGCCGTGCTTTGACATGAAAAGGAACTGTACTCTGTGCTTCCCACAATGCATTTGTCACCTAGCCTGGTTACCTTGGAGACAGCGAGCTCCTTGGCTCTAGACTCAAACAGGTGTTCGAGTCGGGACGTGTCAACCGCCACCTTGTCCAGAGACGCCCACACCGTCCCCCGACCGAACCGGCACTTCTGAGGTCCGTCCGCCTGCTTCAGCTCCTTCCAGAACAACTTCACCATCTTCTTCTTCTTCTGAGAGGAGGACGATGAGGACGAGGGAGGAGGAGGAGGAGCACCTGGAGGAGGAGGAGGGGGAGGAGGTGGGGGACAGGCTGGACCCCCTGGTGGAGGAGGAGGGGGAGGAGGAGGAGGAGGAGGACCAGCTAGGCCCGGGGGAGGAGGAGGAGGGGGAGGGATGCCGGAGGAGCAGGAGGAGGAGGAGGAGTCGACGAATGTGTCCATGTCCAAGACGTCGATGTCCTCCTCGTCCAGCAGGTCTGAGAAGTCCAGGTCTTTGATGCGCAAGGCGGCGGCGCTCAGCTGCAGCTGCTCCCAGGCGTCAGAGGGGCCCCCGGGGCCCAGCGGGGTCATCTCCAGGCGGCGGACGGGGCCCTCCACGTCTACGCTGCTCTGCTGCCGGAGGTAACGGGTCTGATGGAGCATGTTCAGGTGTTCATCATGAGACAGAAACTCACTTTATATTTTCTTTATGTAGCCACTGTTCACTAAGCCCCGCCCCCAAACAGTGATTACGTAAACCTACAAAACGGCCGCATTTCATCCTACACACTTCGTTTTGCTTTTTTCTGTGCCGGGTTCAGTTAGGTGATCAAATATGACGAGCCAAAAAGAAAAAAGGCTCTTTATTCACACCTGTTGCTCTTCAGCCAGTCGGGCCCGAGCTGCCTGGGCGGAGCCTTCCAGCCCCTCCAGCTCCGCCCTGCGGGAGGTGCTGCGCTCGCTGGGGCCGGACGGCTCGATGGAGCGCGCTCGGAAGTCGGACAGACGGTCCACCACACGCCCCCGACCGCCCAGATCTCCACCTGAGAGGAGGAGACAAAAGGTTCCTGACTGTCTTTAACAAGCGGCGTCTTTTTAATCGACGTTCAAACAAAGAAACTGTACAAGTAGATTTTAAAGGCCTTTTCTAAAACTCATTCAGATGTATTGATTTATTCATTGTTTACAGACATCACAGCAGCAGCTCTCTCACCGGGCAGGAGGCTCCCTTCTTCCTCGGTGGTGTCCGAGGCTGCAGCGGTCGGGCTCAGAGGCGCTGCGCTGGACGTCTTGGAGAACAGCATGTCCAGCAGAAACTTCTTGTCGTTGGACAGAGTGCTGCACTGCCGCTGCACCGACCCTGCTGCAGACAGACGTGAACAGGAAGTCTCATAAACATCCTTCAGAATAAAAGCTGACGGATGTATGTTGGTGTACAAAGACGTACAGAAACAGGACAGAGCTTTGTGTTATTTTTGCTAGTGAGATTTTGGGAGTTTGTCTCTGGTCAGTGGAGCAGGTACACTTTTTTTATTTTATCAGTAGCACAAAAGACAAATAAAATATATATAAATACAGGTAAGAAACCCCCAAGGGCTTTTAGTGAAACCTCCCCTCTGGATTTTCAGTTGATCTTATTCAAAATTATTATAGAAAACATAATGACAATGATGAGAAACGATTAAATAAAAACACACAACACGCGTAAGTATTGTTTCATATTTAACTTAAATACTGACAATGATGGACGCGTTTTGATAGAAAAGGGGAATAATATTCCAAAGTGAAGGTCCTCTGTATTTTATAGAGCTGTTGTATGATAATAAGGGAGATGAATATGCTTTGCTTGATGGGTTGGATATGAACGGACATCACAGTTAGTTAAAAAACACTTATGAAATACTTTTGGTAGGTTGTGATTTGGGACAATACATTATACATAAAGATCCATGTTTGATGGATACAGATGTTGAAAATGGATAAAATATTTATCCTCTTGAACAGAGGAGCTGATGGTTCATACCGATTTGATGCAGTTGCCAATCTTAAAAACCTTTTTTGGATTAAAATAATTTTTTGAAGAGAAGAAGGATAATTACTGAACAATGTGACAGCACGAGATGTACGGATACTATAATAAATAAAGAGGATTGAGTTACCATTAATATCTAATACTTAATTAGATTAAAGCCTTTCACTCCCATTTATTAATATTTGGTTTGATTCACAGACCAGTCAGCTGTCGGCCAATCGCTGCAGGTTTAGAGACCGTTCACGAGGCCTGATGTCAGCTCCGGCAGCAGGGGCACGGGGTGAGATATGATTCTGTGTTCGCTTCAGACTCTGATGGACTCGCATCTCCTGAACAGACAGGAACTAACAGCGCAGGCGGGCAGCAGAGGATTGTGGGTAAATGTAGTGTCTCACCTGGGTCATTCTGGGAGTCAGTGTGTTTGTTTGTGTCCAAAGTAGCGGACGTCGAGGCTGCAGACAGACGAGAAGGAAAAACCGTTCCTTTAACAGGAGTTACCGAACAACACACGATAATATACTGATCAGTTTTATCTGTTAGACGCCATGAACACGGTGTTTCACCCTGAGGCGGCAGCTCCTCAGCTGGGGCACCGCTGCCCTCCTCTGCAGGCTGCAGGCTCGGGGTTACGACATCATACTGGTCCAGCTGTTTACTTCTCCTCTTCTTATCCCACTGTGTGGCTGCCAGGGTGCGCAGGAAGGCGTCTCTGTTGGGGGGGGGGGGGGGCAATGAGAAGGAGTCAACATGGCCGACACGCAGCAGAATCTGACCTGCTGCCGCCGGGACTCTCAGGTCGCCACTTTCACATACTGTTGATTTCAGAAAGCGGCTTCATAATCTAACTTTGAATGAACTGATGATTTCTTTAAGGTAAACTCTGATGATCCTCTACTTTTCATCTCATCATCGAATGTTCAGACTCAAACCAGGATTCATCCGCCGCTGAAAATAATCCCCAATAAATGCTCTACTTCCTCCAGTCTGTCTGATAGAAACTCTGTGAGGAACCAATGGGCTCGGAGCTCCACAGACAGGAAGTCAGACATGCTGCTGGTCTGAGTCTGAGGTTTAATGACAAGAAGAAAAAACACACCAGCAGAGTTATACACAGTATGTGGAAGCAGAGCGACACTAAATCACTTGAATCAAAGAGCGAGAGATTCGTTTTCTTCTTCACTGCAAAACCCAAAACCAAACCAGCTCCAGATTCAACACCAGTGATTAGACCACACCCAGCAATAAAAAAAACTAAACAAAACACTCGGGTCAGGACCTGAGGATGCCATCAACCCGCCACCACACACCCGTGAACACACACCATCAAGCTCAGATTCATGACTGATGTTAAGTTTTGGACAGGCCGGAGACACAAACACATTCCTGTAGTTTTTAGTTCTTATTCACACTCCGTCTGTGGAGGGCGGGGGGCTTTTAGGGCAGGGCAGGAGATGGTTATTCTACTTTCACATGTTCTATCCATTGTAAAAAAATATTTACATTGACATAACTGGAAAAATAAATGTTTATTAGTGTTAATTACACTTCTAATTTCAGCGTCTATAGTTAAAATTATTGTTCCACTGAGAGTTGGGAGAAAGTTAAAAGTCCTGTATTCAAACTTTAACATAACTATATCCAGTCCAGCTCAGTAATCTAGTTGTGGAGGTGGACCTGGTCCAGGTCTGAGGCACCACAGAGCTGCTGGTTCCTGCTCTGTAATGTCACGTCTGTGTTTAGTGGCTGCAGCAGTCACAGTTTCTATTTCTATTGTTCTGATCTGAACAGCAGGAGGACAATAGAACCAGAGCAGGACCAGGAGACAGAGAGGGGGCGGCGAAAACAACAGGACAGAGGAGGTTTTCTGTACTTCATACATAATGAGATCAAATCACGGCCCAGGAAGTCATTTCCTGCTCAGTCTTGACAGCAGGAGGAGGAACCAGTAAACACGACTTCACTGTGAAAAGTTAAAGTTCTGAACACCCAGAAATCACCACAACCCAGGCTGCAAACTTCTTCCTGCTTACTTACTACTGGTACTTACTTATACATCCTCAGAACCGGCTTGTTACAGTCATCTGGGCTGCAGAGACACAACACAGGGCTGAGCAGGACACACACACACCACCTGAACCAGCGCTCAGGCTCACAGTTTCTAGTCCAGCTCGGTCTGGTTTCTGTGCCGCACTCAGAAGGGTGAGATTTTAGTATTGGGGAGTATTGATGGTGTGACAGCTGGTCTGTGAGGCTGCCACAGAAAAACACGTTTGAAAGGAAAGTAAACTGTGTCCACAGACTTGTGGAGAGAAGTTCTGACAGCAGACGGACACAGAAAGAACCAGCGGGATCAGTAATCAGTCAGAGCTGGATGCTGATTGGATGCTCAGCTGCATAAACTCTCATAAACTCTTAAATAATAAAGACTGCTTCAAACAAAAAGAATGAAAGTTACTTCAGGGACATGAAGCAGGGAAACATCATAACCATTCATTTTATACGGCGGAGGAGGAGGAGGAGGAGGAGCAGCGTGTACTCACCAAAAGGAAAGGTCCGCCTCCCCAGACCCAGAGCTGGGGTAGGAACTTGGGAGGAGAGCAAGAGAAAAAAAGACGATGCAGGAGGAATTTTGAAAGAGAGAGAGAGAGAAAGATTAGTCAGTCAGACAGAGACAAACTGATCAGAGCTGACGGCCAAAAGGAAATCTGAGATGAACCAGAAGTGAACAGAAAAGATCTCAAGATAATCTAGAAATGATCCAGAGGTGTTTCAGACACACGGGGCCGACCGTACAGTCCGCCATCAGACACACGGGGCCGACCGTACAGTCCGCCATCAGACACAGTCCGCCATCAGACACACGGGGCCGACCGTACAGTCCGCCATCAGACACACGGGGCCGACCGTACAGTCCGCCATCAGACACACGGGGCCGACCGTACAGTCCGACCGTACAGTCCGCCATCAGACACACGCGGCCGACCGTACAGTCCGCCATCAGACACACGCGGCCGACCGTACAGTCCGCCATCAGACACACGGGGCCGACCGTACAGTCCGCCATCAGACACAGTCCGCCATCAGACACACGGGGCCGACCGTACAGTCCGCCATCAGACACACGGGCCGACCGTACAGTCCGCCATCAGACACACGGGGCCGACCGTACAGTCCGACCGTACAGTCCGCCATCAGACACACGCGGCCGACCGTACAGTCCGACCGTACAGTCCCCATCAGACACACGGGGCCGACCGTACAGTCCGCCATCAGACACACGGGCCGACCGTACAGTCCGCCATCAGACACACGGGGCCGACCGTACAGTCCGCCATCAGACACACGGGCCGACCGTACAGTCCGCCATCAGACACACGGGGCCGACCGTACAGTCCGCCATCAGACACACGGGGCCGACCGTACAGTCCGACATCAGACTGCGTACAGTCCGCCATCAGACACACGCGGACCGACCGTACAGTCCCCATCAGACACAGCGGCCACCGTACAGTCCGCCATCAGACACACGCGGCCGACCGTACAGTCCGCCATCAGACACACCATCAGACACACGCGGCCGACCGTACAGTCCGCCATCAGACACACCATCAGACACACGCGGCCGACCGTACAGTCCGCCATCAGACACACCCGGCCGACCGTACAGTCCGACATCAGACACACCATCAGACACACCATCAGACACACGCGGCCGACCGTACAGTCCGCCATCAGACACACGCGGCCGGCCGTACAGTCCGCCATCAGACACACGCGGCCGGCGTACAGTCCGCACACCGCGGCCGTACAGTCCGCCATCAACACACCATCAGACACACGCGGCCGGCCGTACAGTCCGCCATCAGAACACCATCAGACCACACGCGGCCGACCGTACAGTCCGCCATCAGACACACCATCAGACACACGCGGCCGACCGTACAGTCCGCCATCAGACACACGCGGCCGACCGTACAGTCCGCCATCAGACACACGCGGCCGACCGTACAGTCCGCCATCAGACACACGCGGCCGACCGTACAGTCCGCCATCAGACACACGCGGCGACCGTACAGTCCGCCATCAGACACACGCGGCCGACCGTACAGTCCGCCATCAGACACACGCGGCCGACCGTACAGTCCGCCATCAGACACACCATCAGACACACGCGGCCGACCGTACAGTCCGCCATCAGACACACCATCAGACACACGCGGCCGACCGTACAGTCCGCCATCAGACACACGCGGCCGACCGTACAGTCCGACATCAGACACACCATCAGACACACCATCGACACACGCGCCGACCGTACAGTCCGCCATCAGACACACGCGGCGGCCGTACAGTCCGCCATCAGACACACCATCAGACCACGCGGCCGGCCGTACAGTCCGCCATCAGACACCATCAGACACACGCGGCCGACCGTACAGTCCGCCATCAGACACACGCGGCCGACCGTACAGTCCGCCATCAGACACACGCGGCCGGCCGTACAGTCCGCCAGAGACACACGCGGCGACCGTACAGTCCGCCATCAGACACACCGCGGCCCGTACAGTCCGCCATCAGACCACCGGCCGACCGTACAGTCCGCCATCAGACACACGCGGCCGACCGTACAGTCCGACATCAGACACACCATCAGACACACCATCAGACACACGCGGCCGACCGTACAGTCCGCCATCAGACACACGCGGCCGACCGTACAGTCCGCCATCAGACACACGCGGCCGGCCGTACAGTCCCACACGCGGCCGCCGTACAGTCCGCCATCAGACACACGCGGCCGGCCGTACAGTCCGCCATCAGACACACGCGGCCGGCCGTACAGTCCGCCATCAGACACACGCGGCCGGCCGTACATCCGCTCACGCGGCTGGCCGTACAGTCCGCTCACGCGGCCGGCCGTACAGTCCGCACACGGCCGGCCGTACAGTCCGCACACGCGTCCGGCCGTACAGTCCGCCATCAGACACACGCGGCCGGCCGTACAGTCCGCACACGTGGCCGGCCGTACAGTCCGCCATCAGACACACGCGGCCGGCCGTACAGTCCGCCATCAGACACACGCTCGCGGCCGTACAGTCCGCCATCAGACACACGCGGCCGCCTACAGTCCGCCATCAGACACACGCGGCCGGCCGTACAGTCCGCCATCAGACACACGCAGCCGGCCGTACAGTCCGCCATCAGACACACCATCAGACACACGCGGCCGGCCGTACAGTCCGCCATCAGACACACCATCAGACACACGCGCCGGCCGTACTTCCGCCATCAACACACGCAGCCGACCGTACAGTCCGACATCAGACACACCATCAGACCACACTCGCCGACTGTACAGTCCGACATCAGAACACACCATCAGACACACCATCAGACACACGCAGCCGACCGTACGTCCGACATCGACACACCATCAGACACACCATCAGACACACCATACACACGCAGCCGGCCGTACAGTCCGCCATCAGACACACGCAGCCGACCGTACAGTCCAGACACACCATCAGACACACGCGGCCGACTGTACAGTCCGACATCAGGCACACCATCAGACACACCATCAGACACCCGCGGCCGACTGTACAGTCCGACATCAGACACACCATCAGACACACCATCAGACACACGCACCGCCGTACAGTCCGACATCAGACACACCATCAGACACACCATCAGACACACCATCAGACACACGCAGCCGACCGTACAGTCCGCCATCAGACACACGCGGCCGGCCGTACAGTCCGCCATCAGACACACGCGGCCGGCCGTACAGTCCGCCATCAGACACACGCGGCCGGCCGTACAGTCCGCCATCAGACACACGCGGCCGTACAGTCCGCCATCAGACACACCATCAGACACACTCAGCCGACCGTACAGTCCGCCATCAGACACACCATCAGACACACTCAGCCGACCGTACAGTCCGCCATCAGACACACGCGGCCGGCCGTACATCCCCACACACCCAGCCGTCCGTACATCGCCATCAGACACACGCAGCCCCGTACAGTCCGCCATCAGCACACGCAGCCGACCGTACAGTCCGACACAGACCACACTCCGCCGACCGTACAGTCCGACATCAGACACACGCAGCCGACCGTACAGTCCGCCATCAGACACACCATCACACTCACTCAGCCGACCGTACAGTCCGACATCAGACACACGCAGCCGACCGTACAGTACGATATCAGTGACAACGATCCAACAATCTCTTGATAAAAATAAAGACTTGCAGTGAACCTGTAGCATCGTGGTTGCCATTGCTGTGTTACCTCACATCCCAGTACAGTCCAGCTCATCTGCTCCACTTACTTGAAACTGGTTTTAGTCTCCGTCTTGTTGTCAGGCTGCTCCGGGTTCAACTGGGACGAGTTCTCTTGGTGAGAGAGGTCTGAGGACGAGCTGCAACACACACACACACACACACAGAGTGAAGCCAAGAATGGAGAGTACACACTCTGGTTTCCAAACATTGTTTTCTGCCAGTTCATTCCACTGCTGTGTGTGTGTGTGTGTGTGTGTGTGTGTGTGTGTGTGTGTGTGTGTGTGTGTGTGTGTGTCTCCACATACTCTAGGCTGTCAAAGATATAACCCCTTTCTGCAGCGAGGTCAGAGGTCACCTCCTCAGCCCCCTGAATGTCTCAGTGGTTCATTAGTGAAACAGTTAAATTCTGTTGTTAATGATATTAACTTCCCCCCTGATGCTTAAACCCTGCATGGCCAAAAGTATGTGGACAGCCAACCCTCCCTATGTGTCCGTGTAACGTCATTGTGAGCGCTCTGCAGCCAGGATTGCACAGCACCAGACCTGGACTGTCCGAGTCTTTAAGAGGGGGACTGTAATGCTCTCTGCAGCCTGTAGGACACCAACAGGAGCAGAAAGGTCCTGTGAGCAGGTCTGGGGTCAGATTCTCTGTGTTACAGACCTGCGGGTGGCTGAAGGCTCCTCGGAGATGGAGCTGGCTTTGGAGAAGAGCCTGGACCTCCTGCTCAGACCTAGAGCTGACATGTGGTGGCTGAGGAAAGAGCGACTCCTAGTGGTCGAGACGCAGCACAGCAGAGAGACGGCGAGGGAGAGAGAGACAGAGAGAGAGAGAGGCAGGGAAACACCAGTGATTATATCAGAGACAGTGAACCAACACCACCCGAAAGAAGAACAGAACCAGAACCAGACAGACATGCAGCGAGCCCAAAGTGTTCCTCTCATGGAATTAGAGCTGCTAGCTAACAATTATTTTTATCCACTCGTATCTCTCTGATTGGATTAGTCCTTCGATCTTTAATTTCAGAAAATAAACTACAATGAAGACGTCGAACTGGAGAAGCTGGAACCCTCAAATGTTCAGTATTTCTGCCTTAAACAATTTCTCATGGATTACCAGATTAATTAATTGATTTTGATCGTTTCAGCTCGGAATCTAATCATCAACATCACGTCGACGCCCACAAATAACATGCTGTAGTCATCAGCAACAAATCAAAATTAAACAGGTTTTATAGATTTATAGATTTCTTCTTCAGCGTGAGAGCTATTTAAAGAAGTTGCCACTAAATTTTCAGAGGTGGAAGTGACTTAAGTAAAAGTACAGAAGAATCAGCAAGGAAGCGTATTTAAAAGCAGTAAAAGTACTTACAATGCAGAGTAGCTCAGTGTTATTATATTTGTATTTCTTATTATTATTATTAATGTTTTAATATGTAAGCAGTACTTCACATTTGGCAGTTTGATCTTTTTGAACCATGGATGATGTTTTCTAAAGTTTTGTTTGTAAAATCTTAATTTGAAAAGTAACTAAATCTCTGGATTGTAGTGAAGTAGAAGTACAACGGTATTTCCATTTTATGCGACTTTATACTTGTAAGTACCTCAACACTGTACTTAAGTACTTCACTTTCCATCCATCCGAGATTTGAATGGATTCAGGACTCAAGTCTGTCAAAGCCCAACCCTGATCCCAAAGCTGTGAAAGGATCAATATGCTGTTTGTTTGTTGAGCATAAACCCACATTTGTGAGAGGATGCATTAATGAAGCGCAGCAGCAGTTTGACTGTAGCAGTATTAATGTTTCGCCTGAACTCTGCCTCTAAACGAGTGCAACTGTGGAAGAGACGCCGGCTGGAGAAGAACTGTTTCTGCAGAAACCAAACATGAGCAGAAATGCTTTCCGTGTGCCGCTGAGGACAAACATTCCTGCTGCTTGAACTCAGAGAAAAGCTCTTTCCAAATAAAACACGTTCCCTCCTCAGGCCGTTGGCCTAAACTTGGTAAAGCTCAGAGCGGCTGAAGAGGGCGACCAGTGACCCCAACACCGGGGGGCATTGACTCTGCTCACTTCCTGTTTTGAGCTTTTTAGAAAGTTTCTCGTCTGCAGGAGGAGACGTGTTCTGAAGCTGACTGAGCTTCATCTTCAGCTTCACTTCTGTGCTTCCTCCACAGACCACGTACGTTACACCCAAAGACAGCTGGGTAATCGCTAACCGCCCTCCCAACACAGTCCCATCCTGTTGGCAGGTGAATATGAGACAAGATAAAAAAGTAAAAACGGAGTAAACTTACGCGCTGGATGGTTTCTTTGGTTCCTGCTCCGTGGTCATGGTACCGTTGGGGGCTGTGAGGGGGGGCAGGGGAGACCCTCTCTGGGATCCAGATGGACTGGAAGCAGGACTGCCGGGGTCAGAGGTCAGCGGGGACGAGGACCTGCTACCTAACATCGCCGTGGGGCTGGGGGAGGAGGCAGAGGAGAGGGCGGGGGAGAGGGGGATGTTGGCGGTGGAGGGGGAGAGAACGGCAGGAGGGGTGGGGGAGAGGACGGCAGGAGGGGTGGGGGAGAGGACGGCAGGAGTGATGAGGGAGGGGACGGTAGGAGTAGTGGGGGAGGAGCCTGCAGAGGAGGACAGGAGGTCGGGGAGGTTTTGGCTGGACGAGCGGCGGCCCTTTCGTCCCTCCTGCTCTCCGGTGGCCAGCTTTCTTCTCTCTTTGCGGATGTGAGGGGACGAGTCGTCCATCTCGCCGTCCTCATACCTCAGAGCTGCCTGCAAACACACACACACACACACACACACACACGTTATTTTACAAAACTCAAACCAGGTTCCTGCTTCCCGTCTTACTGCGGCTGCCGTTACCTCGTAGATGGTGAACTGCGCTCGCAGGTCTGCCTCCGTCCCCTTGTTCTTCATGTGTTTGTGGATGACCGTCTCCATCCCCAACTGCTCCAGACTGTCTGTCACATCGTAGAACGAGTCCTGGTCCGGGAGCACCGCTAAAGTCTGACACACAAGGTTTGTTTTAACTAATCATGCGATCAGCCTGTGTGACGCCATTCAGTCACATGAAGTACCTCAAAAGTATTTCTACTAGCTGGTACCTTGTTGAATGTCCGTTTACTTCTCCGTCCTTATTGACAGTGATGTAATCAGGATCGAGGTGCGTGTGGAAGTGACAGTGAAACACACTGCACTCATACAACAGGTACCAACAAAACAAAACATCCAATCAAGTTTATATTGTAGCCGTTTCCCTGGAAAAACACGGGGTCTGACTAATAGCTGGAAAATAATCAAAGACTCCTATGAAATGAAACCAAGTCAATACTCCAGCAAGTAGACCGACCCTTAGGAACGCCCAAGCACCAGAGACCTCTGGTCCCTGCTGAGTCGAGTTCCCAGACAAATAAACACAGCGCTGCTCTGCGAGCTCAGTCCTCTGATAACTAACATGTCTGCTGATATGTTAGTTACACCAGGAGATACAACAATGCTGTTGGACTGAATGACAAATCAAGGAAGAAGATATTACTGTTTTGAAGCTTTTTAGATTTCAGTGTTAGAAAGACGAAGGAGGTGCGTTGATTTTAGACGTCGTATAAATATCTGGGAATCCTCATCAATAACAAGCTGAACTTTGAACTAAACACAGACATGCCGAGTAAGAAAAGTCTCTCTAGCCAAGTTTCCAGTGGGCAGATCACCCTCCTCTGCTCTCTGCTTAACTCTGTAAAGAACAGGGAACGGCTGCACATAAGGCACACATGAACTTAAACTTTTTAAATGTTGTGGTATTTATTTACCCAGATGTCTGACCCTGTATTTTTAATCGATGTTGTCGTCTTTGTCGTCATGTACTGGATGTCAAATTCTTTGCTACTGCGGCAAAACTAAAATCGCCCCTCTGGGACAAATAAAGCTCTTGAATTGAATCATCAATCCTCCGTGGACCGTCGCCTCCCGCCTCCCACGGCCCGTTTACCTTGTTGATGAGCGTCATGGTGAACATCAGGAGCTCTGTGTCGGAGCCGTTTCTCTCATGCAGGACCTCCATCACGTAACTCCACGGCTTCTCACCTACAACACACACACACACACACACACACACACACAGTGAAACCAGCTCCTAAAGTTGGTCACAGTCTGCTGTAATCATCACTTCCTGTGTCCCCTTTGTGGCGCTACGACTACAAATGAACATGAAGATGTGTTCGGGGCGGGACTGTTATCAAGCACGTAAAGTTTGGTGCAGATGTGAGCATGCACACTGAAGTTAAAACAACTTCTTCTTTCAGGGCGCATCACCGATTTTGGACGCCACGCCACGGGCACGGCGTTTCACGAAAACTCACCGTTTGTACAACTTTTAATCGTCACTGGGATTAGACTAGACAGCCAAAAATCTGAAGTCGGTCAGACTAGTTCTCTAGAAGGAGTTTGTTAAAGTACGGAGTGTGTAAATCATCCAAAAATGATCACGTGTTGACCATTAAATCCAAAATGGCTGACTTCCTGTTGGGTTTAGGCAATGGTTCCAGAAGGCTTTTTTGTGCGTCTGGACGGGATACACGTGCCACAGAAATTGCGTACACGTAGGTGAAACTTTGTCCGGGGGCTGCTCTGCAGGGGGCGCTAGCGAGCCATTTTGCCACGCCCATGTGCGAAACCCATAAAATACAAAAAAAAATTTTCGCCGCATCTGAATTATGTGCAGAGTTTGGTGAGTTTTCGAGCATGTTTAGGTCCCCAAACTTCAGGTTACTTGAAAGAAAGCAAGAAAGAGTTCCAGCACCAACAAGACCAATTTCTAAAATATCTAAGAAATCAACAAGAAAACACCAAGACGGTTGTTTCATATCGAAGACCCGACGGCAGCCGGCAGGAAGCGGATTCTACAGCTCCACCTAGAAATGATGCGATTCACACTGAAACGCTTCTCAGTTTCTTTTCATGTAGTTTTAGAAAAGCTGAACAGCTCTGCAGATGTTCTCCTCCGACTGAAGGAGGATGGATTTTGCACCTTCAATATGTTTAACCAAATGTCTTTTACTGTTCGGACATCTTGGGGGAAGTCTGATTCTTAAAAAGGGTCATTGTCTGTTTTTTTATTATTCCAGATTCATTTACAGCGTGTGAGTGAGTGAGTGAGTGAGTGAGTGAGTGAGTACCTCTCCTTCCGTCCACTGTGTTGACGGCGCTGATGAGCAGAGGACTGTTGGACTCTGAATATTCCACGAAGACGATGAGCAGCTTCAGAGACGTCTTCACCAGCAGACGGGACTGCAGAGAGAGAGAGAGACGCTCAGTATCGTCCACCAGGTGGCGCCACAGCTCCACTCGGAGGTTTAAACCTGCTCTGACTCATCTGAAACTTTAAGACTTTATCAGGCTGGGGGGTTAACTCTTTCACACCCAGCCCTGAACGACAACTCGTGTTTGGACAGAATGTTTTGCAGGACGGTCAGAAGACACCACCCGTTTAGGGTTTCAGGTGTAGAAGCTACTTCTTCTTCTGTGGTGGATGGGTCAAACTTTATGGTGAATATAAACGGAGGCTCTAAATGTTTCTGTCTGCTGCTTTAAACACGCTGCGTTAGTTTATTCAGAACATCATGAGTGAATCTAAACCGGCTGATCAGGATCTCTGAATCAGCCAATCCAAACACTCGTCTGATGGATCAGAAATGACTCGATTGGTCGATTTTCAGCTTTAATCTTGTTCACTGAGTTCGGCTGTTGTGAGGACTCACCAGACTTCCTGTCAGCGTGTAGAGCCACTGCACCGTCTCATTGTGGTTTATCACTCCGTTCATCCCGTCCACAAACAGCATGATCTGACTGAGAGCTGAGGGACAGAGAGAGAGGGACAGACAGACAAACAGAGAGGGACACAGAGAGAGAGACAGACAAAGACAGAGAGAAACCGACAGACAGGGAGACAGACAGAGAGGGACAGACAGACAGAGACAGGGATAGAGAAAGACAGAGACAGAGGATCAGAGACAGAGAGAGACACAGAGGGACAGAGAGAGGATCAGAGACAGACAGAGGGAGACAGAGACAAAGACAGAGAGGGAGGGAGACAGAGACAGACAGAGGGAGACAGAGACAAAGACAGAGAGGGAGGGAGACAGAGACAGAGGGAGGGAGACAGAGACAGACAGAGACAGACAGAGAGAGAGACAGACAGAGACAGACAGAGAGAGGATCAGAGACAGACAGAGACAGACAGAGAGGGAGACAGACAGAGACAGACAGACAGGCAGACAGAGAGGGACAGACAGAGAGACAGACAGACAGGGACAGAGAGGATCAGAGACAGACAGACAGAGAGACAGACAGAGAGGATCAGAGACAGACAGACAGACAGACAGAGAGACAGACAGAGAGGATCAGAGACAGACAGACAGAGAGACAGACAGAGAGGATCAGAGACAGACAGACAGAGAGACAGACAGAGAGGATCAGAGACAGACAGACAGAGAGACAGACAGAGAGGATCAGAGACAGACAGACAGAGAGGGACAGACAGAGAGACAGACAGAGAGGGACAGACAGAGAGACAGACAGGTCAGTGTTCAGGTTTCCACAGACGGCTCCAGCAGCTCCACAGCAGCCTATAATCTGCAGCGCTGACTCAGCTCTGTGGGTTTGTTGGACGTGTGAAGCTGCAGCTCTGTGTTTCCATCATCAGGGGGACCAGGGGCCCCGAGTCTGGAAGCCTCTGCTGGTCTGCGGGCTGGTCTCAGGACTGTGGCTGTTTCAGCTAATTAAAACTGTCCACTTGTGTTAACGGTCAGGTGACCTGCTGGACCTGGGCCCTCCCTGCTGGACCTGGGCCCTCCCTGCTGGACCTGGGCCCTCCCTGCTGGACCTGGGCCCTCCCTGCTGGACCTGGGCTCTCCCGCTCTAGGTTTTCAGGAACTTTGGTTCCTGTGACTTTGAGCTGCAGAAGCTGAACGTAGTAAACATTAATCCGGTCCAAAGGTAAAAGACACTGAGCATTGGAGTCCCACCTGTGTCCAGGTGACTCGGGCTGGTGGGACAGAGTGCAGTCAGTCAGTCAGTGTTCATTTTCCAAATCATAATTTCTATTTTCTTCAGCTGATCTATTCCACAGCCTTTCCATGACGCCCCTGGGGGCCGCAAACCCCTGCTTGGGAATCACTACCCACAATGATCCTGCTTTTCCAGACTTTGTGAATTATCACTGTGTAATTGGCTGGGAAGGTCGTGGAGTCGCTTATTCACTCGATGCCGCTTACTGAGAGCTGATTCTCCACGCTGATGTCCGGGGGCAGAGATTTGCGGACTTTTGTGTCAGTGAGGAATGAGGAGCGCCTGTCCGATGAGGCGTGGCTACCGGACCTGGGATTTCAGACGGACTTAACGGCAAAGCTGAACCTCACCTGGACAAAAGGTGTTGATATACGTCATGGAGGTCACTGCTGCATGATGTAGGACAGGCAGCAGCCAAATTCCATCAAGGATTTGCTTTGCAAAGTGGCGTTGACATGGAGATAGTTCATTTGTAAAATGACAGAACTGAAAGAGTGATTCCCCACAGTGGATCCACTTTCTGACAGACGCCTGGCTCTCACACTGATACAGCGTGATTCAGTTTCTTTTACTGGGGACGTTACTGCCACTAATCTGCTTTCTTGAATGATGAAACGTTAATTTAGTAACATACATGAAGCAAGTAAAACTTTTAATAGCTTTTATTTGCTAAAATCCTGCATTGACCCTGCCTCTATTTGGGACGGACCTTTAATTCCTTTTGCACAAAACTGAAACTACTACGAAGCACTTTATTTCAAACAGTATGAATATTACTCGTATAAAAATACAGTACAAGTACATCAAATACACGTCCGTCACGTCTGTGCTGATGGCTGGCAGCAGGTCACTCGGTCTCACCTCTCAGGATGTAGTTCTGGTAGTTGTGGTCGGCCTCCGCTCCAACTTTAATGAAACAGGTCAAACCTTCAGAGGCCACGAACTCTGGAACCAGGTCTTTATCATCCTGCAGACAAAAGACAGGAGTCTGTCAGACAGGACAGGATGAACCAGTACGAGCTGCTTCTTCTTCATCACCTGTGTCCTGCATTTAGAGATAAACCAGCTGCTGTTGAGAGGGTGTGTTTTACCTGGAAGAGCTGTTTGAGAGAGAAGAGGGACCGCCTGAGCTCTGGACCCTGAGAGTTGTACAGCTTCTCTGAAACACAGGAAGCAGAGGAGGAACAGGAAGTCACTTTACCACCAGAATAAAAGGTGGACAAAGACCGTCTGTTAGAGAGAGAAGCAACAAGGCCAGAGGCCAGATCCAGAACGGCACTGGCCCCACCTTTAGCTGATCCAGCCCCGGCACCTGTAAACCACAGGGCTGACAAACGGGGGGGGACGTGTTAAGACCGGCACTGACGAAGCCCCCCAGAGGAAGCTCCTAAACAAGGAGAGGCCTGTGGGGGTTGTGGGGGCCTTCAGAAAGGACTGAAACCATTTCCTGTTTGTTTCCATCAGAGGTCAGGACCCCTGACTCATTCTGTGTTTCAGAGGAGACGGTGAGCGATTTAAAAGTTCTGCAGTTTCAACGAGTTCATCCAGAACGAAAAGCAAGAGGACCAGGAGAAGAAATCCACTCCACGTTCCTGCCGCCAACAGCAGCGTCGCTCACGTGACGTCCAATCGGACGCAAATAAACCGGACCGAATGAGGAAGTGAAGAACGAATGTAAACAGTTCCCGAGGAAAAACAAAACAGCAGTAACCACACAGTGAGTAACCGTGGCGATCACAGTAACAGGAAGTCACAGGTTGAACTATGAATCACCGTCACCGCTCTGCGCTGTGGAATTATGGGACGTCAGAGCTCGACTGGTCAGACTCCAGACTGTACTGGGGAAAACTCGCTCTCTCACACTCAGTATTCAGATACTTTAATAATACCTCGCTGTAAAAGTACTCTGTTACAAGTAAAAGGTCCTGAAAAGTTACTTTAGCAAAGTAAAAGTACTCAATGCAGAATGAAAAGTGTCGTATTATCATCCATCTCATCACCAGCAGGACGCTGCTGCTCACTCTGAACCGGTCTTCTCATTCTGGATCAACCTGCTGATTATTTCCTCCAGTAATCGACTGATTGTTTTGAAGTAAAAAGTACAAGATCTCCCTCTGAGGTGGAGCAGAAGGAGAAAGGGGCATGAAAAGAAAATACTCAAGTACAAGCTGTCCACCACTGAGTTAACAGACTCGTCTTCATCGCCGGTGACCTCAGGTGACCTTATTTCAGTGATGAAACGAGCCGTCCAGCTTCCTGTGAACAGGAAACCAGCTGAGGGCGTCTCTGCAGTCGCTTCCATCATCATCAAATCTGGAGGAGGATTTAAACTTTACTCGGACGCAGGCAGATCATTACCGTGTGCGACATTGTTACACATCGACATTCTGATTGGCTGAGAGCCAATGTTGGCATTGATCCATGGCTGATGACATCTAAAGCCAACAAGGAAGTGCAGTGTTTACATCTTGAACACACACACACACACACACACACACACACACTCTCTCTTCACCGTCTTGCTAACACAGTTGTGGGAGTTCGAACTCGGGCTGAAATGTTTGTGTGGGATGAAAACAGGATTACAACACAGAGAGAAGACTTAGGAGGACAAAGTTCATCTGAAGAGACAGAAAGAAAAAGACTCAGGAGACAAAACCACCACATGAGAAACAGCTGGGGGACAAATCCGTCTGCAGCAGGAACAACTTCCGTATAACCTCAGAGACACTGACCGTCTGTCCGTCTGTCTGTCTGTGCTGCAGGCTTCGAACGGACCCGCAGCTCCGTACAGAAAACAGCTCATTACTGCAAACAGGACTGATCACAGCTCCACATTAATTTCAGTCTCCATAACAATATTTAACAAGACCGCTGCAGGTCCTACACGCCGCGTGACACCACAACAGAAAAGGTACTCCATCGACACCTGTTCTTGAGAGGTCCACATCCCGATCAGAGTCCTTCAGTATTGATTATTTGCTGACACCCAGTGAACAGCAGCTGTAGATCAGTTTCTACTTTCATTAGCTACTTGATACAAATACTGAAAATCCTGATGAAGTAGATTAAATTATTGATTGAGTATCTCATTGGCTGGATGTGTCGGTCGACTCCTCCAGATATTTGGCGTAACCTGCGTCGCGAGTTCACGCATAACGACTGGTGACCGCCAATTTACTCCCGATCACAGCCTGACTGTCGCCGAGCGGCAAATCGGGCTAAAAACCGCGTGAGCTCGGCTGCGTCCCTTTACTCTGGCTGTGTTCACGTGAAACTGCTGCTTCAGGATGAAGGGTTGAGCTCACAGATAGTCTGCAGCGTAAATGTATAAATGTTTGTTGAAATCGCCCTCTCAAGATTATTTACTGAGGAGTAAACAGGACGCTGGCTCTCATGGAAACTCCTCAGGTCATGTCAGCGTTCTCATAGCCCGATAACCAGAGAGGCCGCGGCCTGCTGCACTGCTTCGTCTCTGCAGGACAGAGTCCAAACCTGATGAGCACAGATTC